CTGGTGGACTGCCATAAAGATCAGTGGTAGGGCTATAATTATTTTCAATGTATATCAATGACTTGGATGAAAGAAGTGAAAGTACCATTGCTAGGTTTGACGGAAAAATAGACGGGATGGCAAATGGTGAAGATGACAGAAAGAGTCCTTAGAAGGATACAGACAGGTTAAGTGAGTGGGTGAAAACTTGATAGATGGAATATAATTGGGAAAATGTGAGGTTATTCAATTTGGCAGGAGGAATAGAGGAACTGCCTATTATCTAATAAAGAAAGACGCAGAAAGCTATGGAAAAGAATGATTTGTGGTCTTCGTGCATGAATTACAAAAATAGGAGTTTGGTGGGTAATAGGGAAGGCACGTAGAATGTTGGCCTTAATTTCATTGGGAATGGAATATATAAAATAACAAAAAAACACAAAGAATGCTAGAATAACTCAGCAGATCTGGCAGTATCTGTGGTGAGAAAAGCAAAGTTAACATTTCAGGTCTAGCATGACCTTTCTTCAGACCTGTCAGACCTGCTGAGTTTCTCCAGTATCTGTGTTTGTTTCAGATTTCCAGCATCCGTGGTATTTGCCTTTTACTAAAATAGGATGGCTTTGCTACAACTATATAAGGCTTTAGTCAAACTATACCTGGAAAATGTGAATAGATTGGTCCCCTTATTGAAGGAGCGATATATTGACATTGGAGGCAGTCCAGAGAAGTTTCATTAGATTGATACTGAGTATGGAGGGATTTTCTTCTAAGGACAGGTTGAGTAGGTTAAGCCTGTGCTCATTGTGGAAGGATACAAGGCAACCTTATTGAAATTTAGAAGACACTTGGGTGGAGCAGGGATTGGGAGGGCTTGGTGTTGCTTGCAGGTTCAATGCGAAATGTTGTTTCCCCTTGTGGGAGACTCCAGGACCAGACAGCATAATCTCAAAATAAGAGGTCGCCTAGTTAAGACAGAGATGAGGGGAAGCTTATTTTTCTCACAGAGATAGTGAATCTGTGGAATTATTTACCGCAGCGGGCTGTAGAGACTCGGTCATTAAGTGTATTGAAGGCTGGGACAGGCGGATTTTGAATCAGAAATTGCTGGAAATGCTCAGCACGTCTGGTAGCATCTGTGGAGAGAAATCAGAGTTAATCTTTTGGGTCCGGTGACCCTTCCTCGGAACCCAAATTGGATGCAAAAGGTCAACTCGGATTTCTCTCCACAGATGCTGCCAGATCTGCTGAGCATTTTCAGCAATTTCTGTTTTTGTTTCTGATTTCCAGCATTCGCAGTCCTTTCAGATTTCACTTAGATTTTAATTTGGAAAAAAATCAAGAGCTACAGGGAACAGGTAGGAAGGTAGAATTGAAGATTATCAGATCAAGCATGAGCTCATTGAATGGCATGGCACAGTTGATGGGCTGAATGGCCTATTTCTGCTCCTACATATTATGGTCACGTTAAAATGTAGAAGTTAGTATGGAATGATTAAGAATCAGTCCTGTGTTCACCGTTTCCTCTCATTGATTCTCGAAGGTTACTGAGGGCACATTGCAGTGACTGTGGGTAGGTCTGAGGCCAGTGAACACAGCATAGGCAATGACTGACCCTGTTACCTCCGAACCATTCAGCTTCTATTTCACACTGGGTAGTGAAATGAAGCTGCCATTTACACATATATTAGTGGGAATAAGAAAATATGTTATGGGAAATGGTCAAGGGGAGAAAATTTACTTTGCTTTCCCATTTATGAACGCTTGTTGACGTCAAGACATCAAACTGTATGAAACCAACATAAATGGAAAATGAATGAGAAAACTAGACTGAGAGTGAAAGAGAATTTTGTTTTATGTGGAGAAAGCTTGAAAAAGATGTTTTGTCTTTGGAGTCTCTGGACATATATACCCTGCAGTATATCAATTTCCATTGAAGTGCCAGGGGACTGCCTGAGTGTGCCGTGAAATTTTGTACAAAGGCAAGGAGTTTCTACGTATTTTCTGAAACTAGTTAAACCAAGATTAAACTAAAACTCGTGAAAATTAATCATCAAATTAAAAGTAAGATATTGGTTTTTTGACTCTAAAACACACGAACATTCTGAACGCAGGGGCCACGGGCAAAATTGAGATCTCCTGATAGTTTAAACCAGTGAACAAGTGGTAGCGATCGTACACTTTTGTGTTGAAATGAGACAAAACAAGCTAACGACAGGAGGAAGCACATCACAGTGGAACAAACTTTGCGGAAGTCTTTTTCATCAATTTCTCCTGGATCAAAAGGATCTTCATAAACCATCAATCCCAGGTTTCCCACTAACCCAGTAAATTTCAATTTACCCGACTTTGATTTTGCTCTGATCCTATTGAATTTCAATAAGGTATTGGTTGAGTCCAGTGTTTCGAATAGATTTAGAGCCATGAATAGTTAGAAATAGTTGAGTTGAGCCAGATTTTTGAACGTGTCGTTACGAAATGCACTTTAGCTTATTTAGTAAACCTCGCTAGTAAGACTGTAACCACAGTAAATGCAAATAAGTGTGACATTTATGAACAATCAATTCACGAGGTGGATGTGCCACAGAACTGTTTGCCTCATGGAAGTGTGCTTGTTACTGAAAGCGTTGGATTACAGCGCAGTCAGCTGCAGGAGCGCTGTAGCGTCCAGGAAGCGGCGCTGCTGGAAACATTTTGACTTTGAGAAACAGAGTAGGTACAAGCAAAATCATACTGACCCAAGTAGCACGCACAGAACGTGTGACAAGCAACAACTAATTGGACCTATATAGCATTTCGAACATAATCAAGCTTCCCCAAGGCGCAATATTAAATATTGACACTGAACTCCACAATTAGGACAGGCGATCAAAAACTTGGCCGAAGGGGTACACTTTAAGAAGCATCTTAACGGTGCGGCTGTGAACTTTTGAGAGAGAACTTCAGAGTTTGCAGCTTTGGCAACTGCAATTATGCCCACCAGTGGCAAAGTAATTCAATCGTGAATGATCAAGAGGCCAGAGTCGGAAGAATGGAGCTATTGCAGAAGGCTGTAAGGTTGGAAGAGGCTGCAGACATAGAGTTAGGATCAAGGCCATGGGATGGATTTAAAAGGAAGAGGTGGAGAATTTTAAAACTGACGCTTTGCTTAACTCGGAGTCAATGTAGATCAGTGAGTATATGGGGATGATGGGTGACTGAATACTGACGCGAATTGGGGCTCAGATACCAACATTTTTATTGGCATCAAGTTTATGGAGGGTATGATATGGGAGATCAGCCATGGAATAGTCAAGTCTGGAACTAATGAAGGTACGGTTGAGAGGTACAGCAGCAAATGAACTGAACTAGAGACGAAACCAAGCAATGCTGCGGGGATGGAAACGGTTGCTCTTAGAAGTGACAGGAGAATGTTTAAATAACATGAGATGCCTCAAGTCATTAAAAAAAAACCCACAAAGCTCACCCAAAACACAGAACAAAACTAAATATGAAGAGAGCAATTGTAAAGGTCAACAAAATCCGAAACAGTGACTGGCCCCCAACTCTCAAAAAAGAAACTGGCCCAAACAATGGGATGTACACACAAGCCCGGAGACGCAGAACAGATTTAGCCAAATCAACGGATAAGTCCGCGAAGCAAGATTGAGCCATTAATATCAAGAATAAACCATGATCAGCTCTTTAGAGCCAACACAATTGTAGGATTATTTCCCAGCGAACTGAAACGGCGCAATAACGCCGTTGTAGAGAAATTAATACAGACGGGGTTATTGTTGAAGGCAACTTAAAGAGACGTGAAGCTCGACAAGAAATGAGAGTCTGCCTAGTAGTTAAATATACCTCCCCAAAACAAAGGAAGCAAAAATACAGCAAACCATCAATTCCCAGTTTTGGACTATACACCATTTATTAACAATAGATAAGGGGGTAGCACCCCCAAGTATTGTTCCAGCAAGTATTGGAGCAATGGGAACAAACACAGAAATTGGTGGAGAAAATCAGCAGGACTGGCAGAGAGAGAGACGGGGCAGAGTTAATGTTTCGGGTCCAGTGACCCTTCAGAATGTTAACTCTGTTTCTCTCTCTCCACAGACCTGCTGAGTTTCTGCAGCAATTTCAGATTTCCAGCCACCGCAGTTCTTTGTTCGATTTTATATATTGGGGCAGTGGGTTTGTTTAAGAGGGCACTTGGACTGATTTGGTAAAAATCAGATCTGTTGGGACCTCGGCGATGATTTAAATCTCCCCAGTATGTTGGTTTTGGTTGCAGTTTCCCTTAGGGTGTGTCGGTTGCGCTTTTTATTTGGCATTGGGGGCTAGATTAATTGAGGATATCTGGTCGGCATAGAGGAGTTGGACCGAAGGGTCTGTTTCCGTGCTGTACATCCCTATGACTCTTGTTCATTTGAAAATAACGGGATGTCATTGAACTAAACGGACGGTGGGAGCAAGATGTATGGCTCTATCAGTCAGATTCGGGGTTTGGAAAAGGGAGGGTTGATCTGCAAGTAACGGGCTTTATTTTGGTAAGCCCCACTTCCAGGATCTGATTTGCCCCCATCTCTCCTCTGGGCTGGGGTTGGCCTATTGAAGGCGATGGGGTAGAGAAGAAAGGGGGGCTTTTAGCTGAAGACTGGTCACCAGCGGGACAGTAACTGTGAAAGTCAACTGTGGTGAAGGCTCATTTTAAAGGGGCTTGAGGTGTGTGTGTGTGTGTGTGTGTGGGGTGGGGGAGATATGCTACTGGAGGAGGCTGGTCGAGATTGTGGGGTGGGGGTGGGGGGGGGAGAGGCGTGGAATTGTAAACCACGCCATCAAAACATTGTAAACCACACACACACACACACACACACAAACACAGAGGCAAGAACACGGAATAATTCAGTGCCATCTGCCGAGCATTGGGGGATTTTGATTCGATGTGATTGAATCGCACTCTCACATCCACCACCCGCACCCCCACCACCCCCCGCCCCCCACCACCCCCCCCCCCCCCCCCGCCTCTTTCCCTCTCTCTCTCGATCTCGCTGTCTACAACAAGGATGCCCAGAGTCTTACCTCTCAGGCAGCACCGCAGTCTCCCTGGGATCTTGCCAGTTTTGTGTTGCCTCGCATCTCTCCCGATCCTCGCCCACCTCTTGGTCGACACTCGAGTGGGAGAACGGAAAGCGGCGGGGAGAGGGACCAGGGGTCAGCCGAGAGACACCAGGACCCTGATCCTGCTGGATGTGAACATCAGGAGCTCGGTTCGGACCGTGAGCGAGAACTTTCTGTCAATCCAACTAGACCCTGCCGTGGTACATAATGGTTGGATCGATTTCTTAAGGTAAAAACACTTGGAACAGAGGAACGCGTGTTAATGCGCCTCCTAAAATCTCTCGGGTTAATAACGTGAAATCGACACGCTTTCATTTCCATTCGTTTCAATTTCTTTGTTTAATTTCAAAAGCGCGCGTTATCAAAAGCGGCCTGAAACTGATTGAGAATCCTTCCCCACTTTGTCAATTAAAACTAAACAACACCATCATTTCACTTCTGTTCAATTGACGTGCCGTATTTTATTTCCAATCTCGGCTGATCAAAGGGCAGTTTTATGGTCCGCTCCATTCGGACAAATGTAACTCTTAAAAAAAGCTCTGGGCAAGAACTGAAAGAACAAAAACAATAAATGAAGTCGCAACATTTTAACCTGTTGGTGCGATTTGTTTTAAAAAAACAAAAGCACGTTGGTCCAGAAAAGTGCCTCTCGATCTGATAAAGAGAAACCGGCATTTTTATTTTGTTTTAGAATCTGCAAAGTGCGGTTTCTGAAATTATCCCCAGTATGTTAAAAAAAAACTGCTATTTGCGCGCGGAATCGAAAAATAAATCATGTCCAAAGATCAGCCCGTCTTGTATTTTGTGCCGTTTATTTTGAAATTGAGACTTGCTTCCAGCTAGATGAAGCAGGGAAAAGAAGTGTCGAAAATTGTCAGAGCAACAATTTTGACAAATCTTAGTGGTAAATCTTGAGGGTTAGTTTCTCTCGGTTGTCTTGGGTTTTCCGTTTGGAGAATTTCGATTGCACAAACACACAAACACACACACATTCAAAGCAGCTGACTCCCTGAAACTCTGAAATGCAACTGAATGCGACATGTTAAAGGTACTGGCTGTGAGATCATGGGGGCCACTTCATGTTAATGTTGACACCGAAATCATATTTTTTTTTAAAGGTAAGAATCCAAACTGTGTTTAAAAACAGAATGGAATGCTGGAAATCTGAAATTTAAAAAAATGACAAGAAGGGTGTTCTGTACAAATCTTGCTGGATTCAAGACGTTAACTCTGTCTCCACAGATGATGCCGGATTCTCGGGTACTTTCTGCTATTGTTTATTTATTTGCTGTGTGTGAGAGTCCCATGCGTCATAAATTCTTTTTGGATTAGGATTTCGATTTCCAACCAGCCGGCCTGAGGTTGCATGCCATCAATGTTTAGACAATGTGACTGTCCCTATCTACATACACTAAGTGTAGCTGCTAAAACCATCCATTCTAAATACAAAAGTTTATCGACCTCACGCATTATTTTCACTGTGGCAAACGGTTTTAGCGCTGAGGAGGAAGCAGTTACAGCGACCCTTGTTGAGGGGGAGATCAATAGACCCTTCAACAGCAAATAAACCCGAAAAACATCCACTTTACAAAGGCTGGCCGCTGAACTTGCAGTCTCTATAATCCGAATCCAGGGCCTTACTATAGATGAGTTACAACAACCCCGAAAGCATTTTGCCCAGAAACATTCAAATTAACACTGCGAAGACAAGGCGTGGAGAGTTTCGAGAGAGAAAGAGCTGGAGGCTTTTAAACGCAGCAACTATTTAAGAATCATAGCAGGTGAGCTTTTCCAGCAATTCCTGTTTTTGTTTCTGATTTCCAGCATCCGCAGTTCCTTCGGTTTTGTATTTAAGAATCGGTCCTTTCTGTAACTTGTAACACACAGCTCACGGAGAAAGAACATGCCTGGATTGGGGGGGTCGATATTTCGCACTCAGGCAGCGAAGGGGAAAGGTTCAATGGTTTTCGAAAGGCAGAAAACTCGCTGAATTTGATGTGTGTGATTTCAGCTCCAAAAGGCTGGTAACACTGGCTCGAGGCTTGGCACCCGCCTTCCTGTGGTTCGGTGGCAAAAGGACGGATTTTCTACAGTTCCAGAATCATCGGAATCTGGCGAAGCACCGAGGAGAACTGGGACCAGATTACTACCTGAAAAACTACGAAGACGGTAGTTACATCTTTTTTTGATAGCGCTTTATACAATTGACGCTGACACTGCTTACACGGCGCCGAGATAGAAAATATCCTGTTAACAATTGGCACAAATACATAAGGGACAAATAATGTATAAAATATGCTTCAGGGTGTTGGACATTAATTATATCTGAAGGGTTTATCATAATTCGTAATTTATAATCATGGTATTTTGTATATTGTACAGCATAGGTGTTGTCAATCTATAATCTTTCTACATCCCATTGTTGTATGAACTCTATAAAATTTGTCACCATTAAATAACATTTCATGCGATAATTTGTAGCATAATTTCATGTACACCTGTTGCATGTCGAAATACTTCTGCTAAATCTGTAGTTGCAATTACAAATCGCACTATGTTAGGTGTCACTTTCTGTAGAAATATGTCTTTTTTTAAAACAAAACCAGAAATTGCCGGAGAAACTCCGCGCGAATGGCAGCATCAGTGGAGAGAGAGAAAGCAGAGTTAATATTTGGGACCCTTCTTCAGCCGAGGCAATTTCTGTTTTTGTTTCAAATCTTCAACATCCGCGGTCATTTCGTTACGTTTTTGTGTTGATTTTGGAAGACGCAACCAGGGTTATTTTTTGTGGGGACAGTGTGTCAGATTTGGGGATTCAATTACCGAGGGATGGCGGGATTTCGCACGTAAACGATACTTAATGTACAAAAAATGGAAAATTCCGGGTTCTGTGGACGAAGATTCTGGCTTTTGGAGGGCGAAAGATGGGGAGAAACGAGAAAATCTGAAGTGGCGATCTGGGCAGAATGTTCACATCTTTTTGCATCGCTTCTCTCTGTTACATCTCAGACATTGTCCGAAGTGACATCGCCCTGGATAAGCAGAAAGGCTGTAAAATCGCCCAGCATCCGGATATCATGCTGGAATTGCAGAGGGAGAAAGCTTCGCAGGTGCAGTTGGCTCTTACGAAAGAGCAATTTTCCAACACCTACAGCAACATCACAATAACAGGTAGGAAGATCAGACAGGGCCGAATTGGGGTGGCGCCCCAGGGAGAGATAGACCCTTCCTTTGAACGAAATCAGAAAGTGCTGGAGAAAATCAGCAGGTCTGGCAGCATCTGTGGAGAGAGAAACAGAGTTAACGTTTCAAGTCCAGTGACCCTTCTTTAGAACGATTGCAGGGCTTGGTTAGTTCACTTGTGAACATTAGTTTTATTTTTATGCAGAAATTCGATTCCTGCGCCAATTGTATTAATATCAGACAAGGACCCTCTTAGGGACTTTAGTGAAGCCAGAAGTAAAGGCACATTTTTAAAATAAAGCAAAACGAAAAATATTGCAGATGCTAGAGACCTGAAACAAGAACAGAAAATGCTGGGGAAACTCCGCAGATCTGGCAGCATCTGTGGAGAGAAAAGCAGAGTTAACGTTTCGGGTTCGATAGGAACTCTACTCGAGAACTTTGAAGAAGACTCGCAACCTTAATCCAGGTAGTAAAGGCAAATCTTTTAATTTGAGCAAACCGGTGGTTTGAACGAACGGCCACAAATTAAATCAAGCTGAAAGTAGCGAATGTCCAATTTGATTTTCAAAATTCCGCGGATTGTCGTGAGGACGTTGTGTGGAGCGTGCGATGTTTTAAATGCGGAGGAATTCAATGTATCGGCTTGCATTTTGCTAAGCGTGCGGGAAATCGTGTACTGCAACAGTTGTTGGTAGCGTTCTTGATGCTCATGTTGAACTAGTTGCCTGTAGTATAGCGGTTGCCCGCAGTATGTCTGGTGCTCCTGTCGCCTGTATTATACCTGCTGCCTGTAATATATCTGTTGCCTGTAGTACAGCTGTTGCCCGCAGTATAGCTGGTGCTCCTGTTGCCTGTATTATACCTGCTGCCTGT